GGTGGATCGTGAAGTCCCTCAAACTGGAGATTGTTTTGTATGGAGTATAACACAACTGTGTGCAGGATATCTATCTGGAAATTCATTGTGACATCACTGATTGGCCTTTGGAGTACTCTACGATGGAAAGAAAGAGCTTAGGAGATTTGCAGAAGGGTTCTCTCCAGACAGAAATCCAGGACCCTTCTGATGTCTAGTTTATGTAGGAAAGTTTCTAATGAGTCTTTTTGAGGTTTAGGGAAGAAGGTAGGTAGGTGTATCGAGTCATTGTTATGGAAAGTAGAAACTACTTTTTGGTAAGAATTTGGGGTAGGGTCGTAAGATGACCTTATCATTCATAAAGATAGTGAAGGGAGGGTCTGCCATGAGAGGAGCTATTTCTCCCACTCTCACTGATTTTATTGAGACAAGGAGAGAGACCTTCTCTGACATATGGAGGAGGGAACTTGAAGCAAGAGGTTTGAATGGTGGTCTTGTGAGAGCTTTTAGGACCAGATTTAGGTCCCAAACTGGTGCTGTTTGTAAGATAATTAGGTTTATGTTGGGCAGGCCAATTAGGAGGTGTTTAGTTATAGGATGAGAGAATGTAGAAAACCCATCTCTTGATCCATGAAACATGGTAATGGTGGCAAGATGAACTTTTATAGAGGTCAGTGATGAGCCCATTTTTTTTATATCCAGGAGGAAGTTGAGAATGGATGGTAAATTAGACACAGACAGTACAGTAGTCTGTCTGTGCTTATACCAGTTGGAGAAATGTGTCCATTTGTGTAGGTAAGTGTTTCTGGTGGAAGGTCATCGACTGTTCAGAAGAATATCTCTCACCCATTTGGGGCAGGCGTGTTTGGCATAATGGCACCATGGAGTAGCTAGGCCTTGAGATGCAAAGTGCTAGGATTGGGGTGTATCATCTGACCTTGTTGCTGGAAAAGTAGGTCTGGATGGTTATGGAGGGGATGAAGATTGCACAGTGAGAATCGAAGGAGGTAAGGGCAACAGGTTTGTCTGGGCCATGTTAGAACACTAAGAATGATATGGGACCAGTCTTGACAGATCTTGTGGATCACTCGACTGATGAGCAGTAGAAGTGGAAATGTATAAAGGATGTGTGTTAACCATGCCGTCAGGAATGCATCTTTGAGAGATCCCTTCCCCATGCCTGCTCTGGATCAAAAGTGATGACATTGCAGTTCTCCCACATGTCAAATAGATCGATATCAGAAATTCCTGATTTGAGGAAAATTGTTTGAATGACTGCTGGATGTATCTTTCATTCATGTTGCTCTGCAAACAAGTGGCTGAGTCCATCTCCTATCATATTCTGACTGCCTGGTAGGTATGATACTAAGGGTGTTTTTTGCAGTGAACACACAAAATTCCAGAATTTTACTACTACCACACATAGGGAGTGGGATCATGCTCCATCCTGATGATTTATATAATACATGAAGCTGTGGTGGTCTGAAGATGTGTATCATTCGATTCTGGATGACAGGGAGGAAGCGTTTGCAGGCATTGTGTAGTTCTAGTATGTTGATATGGAGCTGAGCTGATGGGGTGCATTTGCCTTGCACTGTTAGAAGCCTGAGAGAGGCTCTCCACCAAAGGAGGGAGGCATCTGTGGTGAGGGCATGAGATGGTGGTTCTTGATGGAAGGAGATGCCTTGCATGATATTGCTTGGCTCCACCACCATGCCAGAAATGAGAACATGCAGTGAAAGTGAGATTCTCCTGTTGAGTGAGTCTTGGGATGGAATAAACACTGTGGAGAGCCATCCCTGCAGGCAACGCACATGGAGTTGGGAGCACCTGACCATGTATGTGGTAGCAGCCATGTGCCCCAAGATTTGGAGGCAAGTTGTGACATTGGTGAAAGTACTGAACTTGATCACAGAAATAAGAGCTCCCAGTGCTATGAATCTGTGTCATGGTAGCATGGCTATTGCCGATACTGTGCCCAGATAAGGTCCTATAAACTCGAGCAGCTGGAAGGGAACAACTGTTGATTTTAGGTAATTTATCTGTAAACCCAGAGCACAAAAGAGTGATATGATGGTGTGCAGCATCTGTAGTGTGTCTAGACAAGTAAGTCCTTTGATTAGACATCGTCAAGGTACAGAAAACTTATTACTCACCGACACTGAAGATGTGCTGGGACAACCTCCAAAGTCTTTGAGAAGACTCTCAGGGCTGTGGAAAGGTTGAAAGGGAAGATGCCATATTGGTAGTGACCATTGCCAAGCATGAATCAAAGAAATTGCCTGTGGGCGAGGTGGATATTAATGTAAAAATAGGCTTCTTGCAGGTTGAGGGCTGAGAACTAATAGCCCGTGGCCAGTACCAGAATACTGGTATAAAGGGTAACCATCTTGAAACTGTGGTTTTGAACAAACTTGTTGAGATTTCTGAAGTCTAAAATGGGTCTCCAGCCCCTGGTCTTCTTTTTGGTGAAGAAATAGTTGGAATAAAATCCTCTGCCATGGTATTAGACCTGACTTGGAGGAGGTGCTGTACCTCTAGGTGTAGAAGACTCTCTTGGGAGGGGTCCCTGAAGAGGGACAGAGGTGGGGGATAGCTAGGAGGTAGCTTGATGAATGGGATTAGATACTCGGACTGGATGATTTCTAAAACCCATCAGTGAGACATGATGCTTGCCCGAGAATGGAAAAACAGGCACAGGTGGTAAGGGTGGTGGTTTTGGAATTGGCATTGGTGTAGGGATGCTCAGATCCTAGATCAATGCTTCAAAAGCTTTATTTGGATGTGGATAGTCGGTTCGTCGTGGATGGAGTCTGTTCAACAGTGACATTGGTAGAGCTGTCCTGAGCAGAATTCAAACAGCTTGTGTTGGGACCTGAAGTTTGAATAGTGAGATCTATGGTATGGTGTGTAGCATTTACATTTATTGGGTGGAGTGTAAATGCCCAAGGTTCTCAGGGTCAGTCGGGAGTCCTTCATTGTACTGAGAACCTCATCTGTTTTATTTGCAGACAGGTGTGATTTATTGTAGGGGAGATCCTCCACCTTCATTTGTAAGTCTTTCGGGATCTCCAAGGCTTGTAGCCATGAAGGTCATCTCATGACAATTGCAGTGGCAGTTGTATAGGCTGCCATATTGGCAACATCCATCACTGCTTGCAATGCTGTGCAGGCTATGGTTTGGCTTCATCCATGATGGCTTTGAGTTGAGGCCTTTTGTGCTCAGGGAAGTGCTCTGAGAGATCCTGTAATTTGGCATAATTTGAATGATCATAACTAGCAAGGAGGGCTGAAAAATTTGCTACTCTGAGCTGTAGAGTAGCTGATGAATAGACTTTACAATCTAAAAAAGCTAATCACTTATGGTCTTTCTTCTGTAGTGTAGAAAGGAACTGCGGTAATTTGACTCTGTACAACATCTACCACCAATGAATTAGGGGAAAGGTGGGAGAAGAGAAAGTCCATATCCTTTGTGGGTACAAAATATTTCCTGTCAGCCCTTTTATTTGTGGGAGGCACTGATGCAGGGGTCTACCAGATGGTATCTGCCAGTTCTAGGATAGCCTTATCCATTGGAAGGGCAATTTTAGTCATGGCAAAGGGTTGCAAGATTTTCATCAGTTTATGTTGTTTCTCTTGTAAATTGATGTCTTGATACAAGACCACCTTCTTAAAAAGTTCTTGAAATTGTTTAATATTGTCTGTTCAAGTTGATGTTTGTGGAATCACCACCTCATCAGGGAATGAGGAGGAACTGTGGAGAGGTGATTGATCCTCCAATTTGGCGGAGTCAACCTCTTCTACTTCTGTGGCTTCATTATCCAGCACCTCCAATGTTATGCAAGGCAGAGATGTCCTGGATGCTGACTGGGCTGAGGTGGTAGGGGTGGTACGATGGCAGCTATATAGAGACCAGGTCTGCCAGGATGGCCATTGCCCAGGATAAGGGGGTGGAGGGTATGGCCTTGAATGAGGATACTAGTGGTAAAGTTGTGGACTACATGACAATCTGAATGGTGGTTGATCCCATATAGACCTGCACTTTGCGGGCAAGGAGCACTGAAGAAAAACACTTTGTTGGTCATCTTGCTCTGCTTTCACAACCATGAGTGGAAAAGGCAGAATATCTTGGTGAGGATAGTGTGGTGCTGATAGGAGAGTGGTAGGTGCTGTGTAAGGGAATATGCCCCACCATGGATGATTGTGTCTCTGAGTAGTATAAAAAACGTGTTAGAGTGAACGATTGGTTAGGTGTGGAATATTTTGGTGACGGTCTTTGGCGATCAGTGCCAGTGAATGATCAGTCATCAGTGCCGACAAGTGACTTGAAGCCATTGGGGGTGCCAGAGGAAGTGGCATGTCCATGCGGGTGGTTTTCGTTACCAGAGGTTGAGTCGAGGCCGTCTGTGCCATGTGCTGCAGTTCCCTCACTTTTAGTGCCGATGAGGATGGTTTCCATATTGGCTCCGATAGAGCCTTTTTCAGTATTGGTGATTTGCGGACCAGTGGTCCCAGGTTTGTCACTGGTGCTAGCTCTGGACAAGGTAAGCACCAAGGGTAATGATCTGGCCGGCAACCTATTCATTTTCCAAGAGTGCTTGCCAGAGCTGGAGGAGTCTCGCCTTTTAGATGTATTGTAGGGCTGAGCCTTGTCTTTTCCTCTGTTTGTAGGAGCCTCCTCAGTGACTAGTTTTAGAGACTTCTCCAGAAGGAAAGACTGGAGACGAAGCTCTCTGTCTCATCAAGCCCACACCATCATGTTGCTGAAGTGGAAGCATTTGGCAAGAACATGTTGCGTCCCCAGGCATCGTGTGCAGGAGAAATGGCCTTCCGACAGTGGCATGGCCTCTCTGCATGTGTTGCACCTCTTAAATCCCAATGATCCGGGTATTATTGTGATGGAATGCAAAGAGTCTTTCCTTTACTCTCTCTCTCTCTCTCTCTCTTTTTAAATGAAGAAACTGAGGATAGACTGGGGCAGGATGGTGAAGGATAATAGGAATTACATATTTGTATTTCAGGAGGAGAAATGCTGGACTGCTAAGGGCTCTGACTGTTGCAGGAGATGGCAGAGAAGGAACTGAGTGGGGGATCACGCAACTTGCAGCCAACAGACAAATGGTGCACTAGGCGGCTGTGCATGCATGTCGCATCCAAATCCTGCTAAGAAAATTCCTCAATCAGCAGGCCCTGGGGTACACTGACGCCTAATGTAGAGCACCCACAGGGACATCACTCAAAGACGACCATGGAGTTATTAGAATTGCTCCATGCAGTAAATGTGTCAGTGCTTTAGTACATCATCTATAAACTTTAAAGTTACAGCTTTGTATGAACTGTGTTTGTATGCTTAGACGTCAATAATAAGTTACCTTATAGTATTATCAGTGCCTGTAAGATTACTTTACAGATAACTTGTATCTGAGGATCAAATGTCAAATGTTAGTGAGTATTAGGATGCAACAGAAATAGAACAGATTATAACATTGAAATTAATGGAACACCATTATATACATCAACAATGCTCCCTTGTTGTGAATATTTTGCTCAATTCTGGTCACCCAAATGGGGAAAAAATAGAGCATTAGTACAAACAGTTAAAAGATCAGACAAATGAATAAACGCATGAACATATTTCCATACCAGAAAATAATGCAAAAGCAGTTTAAAAAGGAAATGGGAAAGGGGACATAAAATATGGCTGTAAAATAATGACTGGTATAGAGTAGATTATTCAGGCACTCTTATTTGCCCTCTCATAATAAGGTAATAAGATGACTATCAAAGAAATAAAGGCAGCACACTTAAAATATATTTCTTTTGTCAGTTTTAACTTGGAGAATAATCACTGGAACCCATTGCCATAAGGTATCAGAGGCCAAGAGTGTTTAGAACTCAAAAGAACAAATGGCTATATAAATGAGGCCATCCACAATTGCACCAAAAGTATAAGACAATGTGTAAAGGTAGACACTCTTGCCTTCCAGGGTATAAAGCCAGCCTCTTATTGAGAGGATTAAAGAAGACATTTCCCCATGCAATTTTCCTACAGCTGCCAGTTTCAGGGTTTTTTCCTCACATTCCTCTGAAGTACTTGGTACTTGGCAACATCAGAGACAGGATAGCAGACACCTAACTGGACAACAGATCTGCTCCTGTATAGCAATTTGTATGTTGCTGTGGGATAGGAAAATGCCTGAAAAATGTATAAGTAAAAAAATAATTGGCTATGTACGAAAACCAGAAGGAACATTGCAATGCCTATTTCATATGTAAAACAAAAATCTCTGGCAGCAACTTCATGCTCATGATGAGCAGCTGTTTAACAATCCATTGTATCTACGTGTGATAGATGACATTTACTTGGGTTAGGAAACAGATTTCACTTTCATCTCTCAAGGGATTGTATTAAACAATACTAAGAAAACTATTTTGAAAAAGGAAAAACCTTGCTTTCATTATAGGTGTTTAAATTAAATACCAGCAATGCGAAGACTTTTCACTGTATTTGAAGCACAGACAAGTGTATTAGTATGGGGGGATTCTGTGCAAAAAAAAAAAAAAAATCAAAATTCTGCAAAACTTTGCATACTGTGTCAAAATAATGAAATATAATCACACTAGTTTCAATTATTTGGTCATTTATTTAAACTATACTACAGAAAAAAAGTTGCAATATGTATTCAGCATTTCCTAACGATATGAAAGTTAAGTTTCAAACACTTGTTAATCAATACCCTGTATGCCATTTATAATCCTGGACTTTTGTTTAAATTACATTACGGAACACCAAACAGCAAGAAGTAGAAGGTCATTTTAAATTGCATAGACATTTATGAATGAAAGCCATAATATTATCCTCAGCCTGGCAGAGTACTTTGGAAAGTGCTTGGTTCTTGTTGCCTTGACATTTTTTGACTGATTGGTCAATGTTTTAATTGCCTGTAAGGTGGTGGTTGTTTTCTTAAACAGGTAAGTAAAATAAATCCTGATCTGTAATCTATCTGCATTGTGCCACATTGGCACAGGAAAAAAAAAAAATGAGAACGCGCACATTGATCTTCCTAGCTAAGGAGTCTCTTACTGGCATAGTCTCATTTACACCACTCTGGCAATATAGGGACCTTATATTTTTCAGTTTTTATGCTTCTAGGGTAACTGACTGAATGCAAGAACAATAGTTATGAACAGGAAAATTAACAACCTTATTATCCAGTCAGGTACATTTCTGCTTCTAGACTGCCTCAAAAGCCCTACCCTTCCACTGTAGTGAGTTTCAGTCTTGAGAGAGAGACAGACAGACAGACTTGGTCCCTCTCTCTCTCACTCATTGGCATACATGTATGCCCAATCCCCCTACCTTGACTAATCAGTCATGCCTAAAGAGGTTGTGGAATCTCCATCACTGGAGATACTTAAGAACAGATTGGACAGACACCTGTCAGGGATGATCTAGATGGTGTTTGGTCCTGCTGTGAGGGCAGGGGGATTGGACTTGATGACCTCTCGAGGTCCCTTCCAGTCCTAGTATTCTGTGATTCTATGCAAGCACATGTGTCCAGCCCCCGCTTCTCTGTCTCTGAAGCTGTTCCAGACACACATTGCCTGGACTGTAGGGGTAAGAGATGCATGTCCCCTGACAGATTTTTTTTCTTCATGGGGCACAGAAAAATGTGGGATATATGAATTTTGTGCCCCTGCGGGGACACAAAATACTGTCAGGAGTATTTTTGAGGAAAATGGTGTCTCAGGTTTCAGTGGAATTCATTTACCATTGCAGTTACATCAGCTTAACAGATAATGCCAGATTAAGTGTCTTACTTAGAGAACCCCGGAACACTCAGCTCAAAACTGGCTGGAAATTTTGTGACAGAACATTTCTCTTGGAAAATATGGATTTGATTAAATGCAGGAATGTACTCACTGACATTTGTCAGCTAAATATTATTGAAATGTTTCATTTTGATAAGGTCATTTCAGAATTTTCAAAACAAGATTTTTGTGAAATGTCATTTCACGTGAAATTTTGAATTTTCAAACTTTCATTACAATTTGGAACAATAAACATTCAAAATGTTGGAATTTCCTGCAGAACAGAAATTCTGAATTTCAATCATTTTTTCTCTCTATCTCTACTTCTCTATAATCTGTATCATTTTAAATGCATGAAATATCCACAAACAGCAGTTTCTACATAGCCAACATTGGCTATCATTAATTTATAGTGGATGAGATGATTTTTTGAAGAAAATGCAGATTTGGAAAGACCAAAACATATTGCAAGTTAATGTAGATTTTTCTGAATTGTTTCAGTTGAAATAAAATCTAAAATTCCAAAACCATCAAAACATTTCTTTTTAACATTTTAATTCGTTTTAGTCAAGATTATTTTTCTTTGGAAATTTCCTGTATTTTAAATTTTTTTTAAAGATTCAAAAGCAAATCAAGACATTGTGTTTCAGGTTGAAAAGGAAGTTTAATTCACCTAACTTTTTGATTCTCTATGAATTTCAAAAAATTTAATTTTTGATTCAATGCCAATTTTTTTTTAAATCATAATTGCCAGAAGACTATTTGCACAGCTCTAATAGCTAATTTGCCTTTTTTATTTTTGTTTTGCCTATTATATAAATGCATTGCATTTGTTGCTGCTCAAGAGTCACTAGGAATTGAAGGTGACCAGAACTTCCCAGGAAATGCTCACTACCTTCCCAGGGTCAGATCTACAATTTGTATGAGCTTCATTCCTAACTACTTGTTGAATGGTAAACCCATCTTAGGCCTGGTCTACACTGGAAAATTAAAAGCTTCAGAGGGGTAGCTGAGTTAGTCTGTAACAGGAAAAACTTAAAAAACAAAACAAAACATATAGATGATATCAAGAGCTTTATAAAATGAGGTTTAAGGGTAATTTCAAAAGAAGGGTTTTCTTTCGAAATAACCGCATCTAGACTGCATTTTTTTTTCCAGAATAGGGTATTTCAAAATAGCACCCGGACACGATTATGCAGATGAAGCATGGGAAATTCATATTTGCACTTCATTTGAAATTTCACTCAGCTGCATTTGCATTCCTCTCTCGAATGAGGAATGCAGTGTAGACATACCCTCAGTTGATGTAACTTATGTCACGTAGGTGGGGGTGGCTTTTCACACCCCTGAGCAACATAACTTACACTGATTTAAGCTATAGTGTAGACAAGCCTGGAGACAAGGTCTGCTGGCAAAGACTGGGAATAAAAGCTGCCAGGTGGGGACTGGGACTGGGAGGTAAAGAGGTATACAGGAAGGGAAAGGATGGCTATGAGCCAGCATGTGTGAGAGAGATTGAGATTTGATGAGGAGCTGGAGGAGAACTGGGACTGAGAGGAGGTATGATGGCAGATCCAGGAGAAAGGAGGAGGGCAATGAGTTGTTCCTTCACGCACTTGCCCTGGCTCCTGCACAGACTTTTTACTCAAAGGACTGGGTACTGGATTGGGCCAGAATTCATTTATGAACAATTCCGGGAAACCTACCATACCCTTTTCCAAAAATTTATGAAATTTGGAAGAAAAGACATTTTAGGTAAGACATGTGGGGCAAGGTCTCTGTGTTTGGGAGGGTGCAGCTCTGTGCCCTGGAAGGAAGGGGCGAGGCACTGGCCAATCAGCTCTTAGCACTGCCCAGACTGCAGCATGCTCCTCTTCTCCAGCCCTCAAAAATGCACAGAGGAGTGCTCCAGCTGCAATTGAAAGGGGCCTGGGGCTCCAGCCACCACCACTGCTGCAGTAGTAGCTGGAGCCCTGAGTTCCTTTGAATCACAGGGCCCTGGGGCAATTGCCCTCTTTGCCCCCCTTCCCCATCAGCAGGCCTGATTGTACCACAGGCCACCAGATGCCCACTCTCTGATTTGCAGTTTCAACTGAAATGCCTTGGCTTGAATAAACAAAGACTGCCAGTATCATAGGTGCCACTTTTTGGGGGGGGGGAGAAAGGGCGAGCAGTGAAATGGCTAGAGACTCATTCCATCCAGTCTGTACCTGATCAGTGCACAAGGAGAACATAGCCCTCACCACTGTTATTTATTTAGCTGTTTTTCCATCACAAAACTAAATACTTAAAACATTTTCTAAAAGCAAGATGTCAAAACAGAACTAGAACCACAACAGGAATTCCTTGGAAATATTTATAAAAACAACATTCAGAACATTCATAAAATCTGAAAGGGAAAATAGTTCAGATGCCTCGGACTTAAGCAAAGAGATGAAAAGCATTTATGCAGCAATCACTCAGTGGGGAGACGCATTTTCCAATGTGCAAGCACAGACCACGCACAATTAACGCAAACTGTTAGATCCTAATAAGAGGACACTCACCTAGTCGAAAACATTCTATGGAA